ATTACTAATAACCAAAAGAATGATGCTATAGTAATATTAATATCAGGCAAAATAGACTTTAAAGCAAAAACAGAGATAAAAAAGATACTTCATAATGATAAAAGGTCCAATTTACCAGAAAGATGTAACAATTCTAACTTTGTATTTACCTAAAAACACAGCTTCAAAACACATAAATAAAAAACTAAAGGAACTAAAATAAGACACAGATAGATCTACAGACATAGTGGGAACTTCAAAAAATATTTCTTACTAACTGATAGAATAAGCTGACAATCAGCAAGTAGATAGATTTTAGGAACATAATTAAGAGCTGACATATCTAGAATAGCAATCAAAACCTATAGACTACACATTTTTCCAAGTGTACACAAAGTGTTTACAAAAATTGGCCAGGTGGCAAAGCAAATTCCAAGAAGCCTGCAAAGACTTAAATTATATAGAACATGTTCTCTGACCACAGTAGAACTTAAAGCAACAAGACTACCAGAAAATTCCCATATGGTACAACATTAAGGAAAAAAACCTCTAAATAACCCGGGGGCCAAACACATCACAATGGAAATGATCAAATACTTTAAACCCAATAATTATGAAGGTGCTACATAAAAAAACATGACATTGCCTCGATAGCCTTCAACACATTAGAAAAAATGGCTAAAAGTTAATGATACAACTATTTAACAAGTTAGAAAAGTCAGCAAATTAAACCTTAGGAAAGTAAAAATAATGAAATAAGAGAAGGTAATGAAACAGAAATCAAACATACAGTAGAAAGGATTAAAAATTATTTTTTAAAAGCCAAATAAGATTGACAAACTCCAGCAAGATAGATTAAGATAAAAGAGAAGACTCAAAAAATTTAATATCAGGAATGAAAAGGGAGACATCACTTCAGATCCACATAGGCATTTAAAAGCTAAACAGAGGATAGCACGCCCCCAATTTTAAATTGTTTATTAGATGGATCAATTCCAAGACAAACACAACTTACTCAAGTGAAACAAAAAGTGGAAAATACGGATAGTCCTGTAACTACAAAAGAATAGAGCCATAATTAAACACCTTCCTCAATAAAAGTTTCAGGTCAACATGGCTTCCCTGGTGAAGTCCATACAATTTGTAACTTTCCATCTCACAACTCGTTCTTGTCCTCACTGTAAGTTGATGGCCTTGCTTCATATTTTACTGAGAATATACACATCATTGTGAAAGAATGCCTTGAACTTCCCATCACCAGTTGACCATATCTGCTCCCATTTTCTCCATCTTGCCTAGTGTTACAGCAGAGGAGGTGGCCCCCCTGCCTATCCAGGGTAAATCCT